ATCAGTTGTTGAACATGAATATTGATCAGATGGGATGCGCAGTGTGTTCGGAGAAATACAATCGTAAAACAATTCTTCAACGGTGGAAACTAATCACTTCAGAGAATGTATTCTTAGTGAGGATCCTACGATTAGTGGAATGCAATAAACAGAGACAACAACAGCAAATCAGTAATTTACCGTAAAATACCGTTGTCGGCAGTAAAAACATCCGTAACAATTCTGCTGTTCGGAAGCATCGTCATAAGTTTCGTGCACGCTATCGCAACGTCTGCAGGATGTTCCGCGATTTCAGCGCCTTCACTCTCAAATAATTTCATACTTACCAGCTGACCCTCCACATCCATCCAACAATACTAACTTATCATATCACTTAAACACATCAACCTTGAGTTCGGCAATTCGTTTCGCGTCCACATCGCAAACAACCAATTTACAACCCTGACGAAGCAAATTTCGAGCCATATGTGAGCCCATATTGCCTAATCCAATGAAACCGACTGATGCCATTTTCTTACACTTCTTCGAAAACTATTTATTTCCTTCGGTCGATCCTCAAAATTCGAACAAGTACACATGACTCGAAAATTAACTTCATCTGTGCGATCAGTGAATTATTTTAGAGGACGTCTACAAATTCATCAATCNAAACAACTCAGAAGACACACAATCAAGTCCACTATCTTTACTGAACTCTCAGCAAAAGTACAATTAAAACTGCTGTTGCGGCGATTTCACATTCGAAAAAATGAACCATTTATCCGAATCACTTAGATCAAAAATGAATCCCGAAACATTGACCAAATTCTTTTGAAGGAACTGGCTACTACTGATTCAACTAAGAAATTGAACGAAGTTTAGAACCAGAGCAGATAACCGTAAGAGGTATGCTAATTCAAGTGATATCACGAACAATACGGTCGTACTCGATGGGGGAATCCAGATATCGAATGGAAATATTTATTAATTTCTCTGTCAGCAAGAAAAAGAATTAATTCCAAGTCATTTAAATTCGATGAAAGAATACTACAAGAATCGCAAAGTCTAAACGGAACAGCAACAATCATTCATTATCAACAATATTATATGTTTATCAGACAAGAAACAATTATAAACGGAGCAATGCAACGGAAATTCAAAGCTCCCGAGAGTGTTCTTCACGGACAAGCAAAAATTTCATCACATTTCAGTTAAACAAGAGAAAATAATCAACTGAAAAGGAAAAATCCAGGGTAACAGTGATAAAATGAATCTACTCCATATAACGTTAACTACAGAAATTGTAAATTACAGCCGACGTTAAACGATAATCGTTCATGAATACATCAGAAAATGGACACTGTTGCATTTACGCGTAACGTGCACGACACTGTTTGAATGCCTCATTGAATGCCTCACAGAGACTCAGATCTCTTTGATTCTGACTGCTGAAAGCATGAAAATCAATCAGNAAAATATTCAACATAATTATTCACAACTCCTTAAAAACATTAAACTGAACAATATTTGTCGGTGAAATGCACAAAAAGTCACCAAGCAATTCAATACATGCATTAAAAAAACCAGTTTGATAATTGTAATAAACTTTCTGCTCAATTTTATAATTCTTTATGTCATAACTACAAATGAAAAGTTGTTGAAAATAAGGAAATGCAAGGTTTCGTCAATATTTTTACTGATCGTGAGATTTGAAATTACACAGAAATGATAAATGGTGATATTTCTGAAAATACGACACGAACTTGAATTTTTAGTTGCCACCAATTTTTTACCCGACACAAGTTGCAATTCATTACTTGGTCGGTTGCAATCAACCGGTGAAATCGTTCAGTCCCGCATAAAGCTTACCACCTCACTTGATGGGGGAAATTCTGTTCAGATATGAACTGCGCAGCATTTATTGGAATAAAGTACGCAATAAAAAGTTAAAGAAACTGATGTTCACTGACCATTCAAGGAACTGTTTCCATTCGAATTCACATGGCTGAGTGAGTGCTTGTTGGTTTTGTGGTACTTGAGGTGCACCAGCTTGAGCAGCTGGTGCTTGAGCCACCTCCTCAGAGCCTGAAGAGCCACCTCCTCCCGTCATCATATTACCGACGGCATGACCCTTAAAGTTTTGTTTCGTGTTCAATAAGCAGCAAGAAATTTTTTTGAAGAATATCTTCGTTGCAAACAACAGTAACGCAAATATCATATATTAGCTACTCTATTTGTGCTATTAAATTGATTTATTGGCATTTGTGGAATAGTAAAGTCACATTTTCATCTTATATGATCAGCGCGTAATCATTCCTATTTCTTGACCAGCTGCTTATCAGTGCAACAATAACGTATGATTCAACGATAAAATCAAATTCAAACATCATCAATTAATTAAAGATTTCACGCCTCATCCTCTTAAAAGTATTTTTAACAGATATCAGTCAGCAACAAAAATTCATTAAAACCAGTCTTATTAGTTTATGAAAGTTCTTCAATTTGAAAAGAAAAAAACTGGAAGATGTTGAAAGAGACAAATTTTCAAGAACAGTTAATATTTATACTCATAAACGAGGAATGAAAATTTTGCTGATGATTTGAACAAATCTCGACTATTTGAGCACATTATGATACTTTGAACTAATGCAGAAAACAAAAATACGAAATTTGAAGGACATACAACAGCCGATCCAATAGCAACACCACCCGCAGTTGCGGCCATTTGCGCCATTAGGCCAGGTGCTTGTGGTGGGGGCATACCACCGATTGGAGTTGCTTGAGCTGACCTCATCGGAGGTGCAGGAGGTGGAGGGGCTGCGGCACGGGGTCGGGACGGTGGTGCAGCGCTCCTGACCGGGGCCGATGGCCTCGGTGATGACATACGTCGACGAACCATTTCTGATTTTCAAAAGGCTGGGCAACAACTGTAAACCTTCAAAGGAGAAACAAATGAAAATAATTTTCAGAATTATGATAATTGCACGAGCACAATAAAAAGGCTCCGATTTCGACAACTTCAAATCATTATTACTCTGACACTGTTTGCGAACAAATTGAACGAAACGGAAAGTGTTATAATAAAGTTAGCTGCTGCCAATCCGAATAATTCATGTGAAGAAGAACAATTCTTTGCACTAGAATTATGTAGAAGAAACAAATTTTGGCCATTATCCTAATTATGTTTCCTCGAATGGAAATATGGAAACAATATGGATATATAAAATAATATAATATAAAATAATATACAACATAAAATAAAATAATATACATGTAATAATATAAAATAATATGGAAACTGAATGAAGTAATAATGA